CAGAAAAGGGGGGCAGAGAGGGGGGGGGGGGGAGAAAGGAGAAAACCCCTCGAGCCTCCCCCTCGACCTGACAGCGACCTGACTTGAGCCTCCCCCCCCCCCGAAGATCTCCCAAAGATGTTTCCCCTCCCCCTCCCCCCAAAAATATGCAGTTCCCCTTTCTCCCAAACCCACCCAACCACCCACCCATCCAATCCCTGTTTGACACTTCGGAGCCAAAGTCTGGAATTTGATTTACACATTTTTTTAAAAAAAAGTGAAGATGGGCAGAGAGTGAGAGAGAGAGAGAGAGAGAGAGAGAGAGAAAGAGAGACAGAAAGAAAGAGACAGAGAGAGAGAAAGAGAGAGACAGAGAAAGAGAGACAGACAGACAGACAGAGAGAGAGATGCCAAAACACAACAGTTTGCAATCTCTCCAACCCAGAGAGTTTCTGGACTGCAAAAACCTGGGTGGGTGAGGGTGGGGGATCTAGCTCCCAAGTGCATGCCCTTAAAACAACTATTTCTTTTTGAAAAATGGCAGTCGGTCAAGCAATGCACCCTCTAAGCCCTGGCGTCTTGTGAGCCAAAATTCTACTTTGCGAGCCGCTGGCCTTAAAGTGGTGAGCGAGCCATTTGGCTGCTGCAGCCATTCGGTTTGCTCCGGAGGCCCCCCTTCCTGGGCGAAGGCAAAAACGTGTGAGCCGGAGGCTTAAAAAACCTGTGAGCCGGCTCACACTATCTCGGCTCAGAGGGAACACTGGCGGTAAGCACGAACGCTGGGGCCTTCTGTCAGACCTTTGGGCTAAAAACAATAATCATCATCAAAGAAACTCCCCCTTCCCAGTTTGCAAGGGATCCCAGCCCCAGCGTTCCCCCTAAGCCGAGTGAGTGTGAGCCAGCTCACAGTTTTTTTAGCCTCCGGCTCCCACCTTTTTGGTCTCCGCTCGGGAAAGGAGGGCTCCAGAGCAAACGGATCCCCTGCAGCGGCCAAATCGCCCGCTCACAACTTTCATGTCGGCAGCTCACCAAGTAGGATCTTGGCTCACAGGACTCCAGAGCTTAGAGGGAGCGTTGCCCCAGCACCATCTCCACACACACACATACACCCTTCCCACGGTTTCCTCTAAGCTGAGTTGGTGTGAGCCAGCTCATAGTTTTTTAGCCTCCAGCGCACAGATTTTTGTCTTGGCTCAGGAAGGAGGGCTCCAGAGCAAACTGATTTATGCAGTAGCCAAATCGCTCGCTCACAACTTTAAGGCCAGGAGCTCACAAAGTAGAATTTTTGCTCACAAGACTCCACAGCTTAGAGGGAACATTGAGTCCCTTCCCCAACATCCTTCAGAGCCCGTGGAGAGAAACCAGACTTAAAAAGAGTCCAAAGACTTACCCTTTGGGCCATGAGACGTTTGGAAGGTTGTTCTCCAGGGTCTCCTCGTCGATTTCCCCCCCGGGGGGGGGATGAGGGCGGCGTGGGCCAGGCAAGGAGAGACTCAGCGCTTTCCAAAAAGAGAGTCTTTCATTTTGGGGGTGGTGGTGTGGTGGGCGCTTCCTTTTCCTTCCCCCAACAAGACAGACGAGGAAACAAAACAGAAATCTGGTGCAAAGAGTTTTTTAAAAAATAAAAATAATAATAATTGGGGGGGGGGAAGGTTCGATGGCTGCGTGGATTGCTTGCAAGTAAAAAGGGGGGGAGAAGAAAAAATAAGACTGCTATTCAGCCAACTGGGGAAACGACCCCCCCTCCCCCCTGCGCGCACAGGCAGGTTGCAAGCCTCGATCCCGGGAAGGCGGCGACTTTGGATGCCGGCGGCAGGCGCGGATCTTGCGTGGACGCCGAGTGTTTGTGGCTGGAGGGGGGGCGGTGGTGGAGGAGTTGCTCGTCGGAAGAAGGGGGGGTC